TCAATACAAAGGAGATACCAGATGTACCAAACCATGAAACCATCCCTTTTAAAGAAATTCATGATTAGATCATTATGATTAGATTAATATCATTAGACTTTAATATTATTGACTGATACCAATATGGCATTTTGTGATAATTTCAGGTATCAAAACCTGTGTTCTGACAAATAACTGGACCAATGACACAGGAAAGAACTTCAAATTATTTCAATCTTTATTCCATTATTTTAATGAGGTGTTTGAATCATCCAAACTTGGACTTAGCAAGCCTGATCCTGATATTTATACCCATGTCTGCTCAAAGATGAATGTCAAGCCTTCAGAGGTGTGTAACTAATATGAAAAATGCATTTATTATTGACTGACCCAGAGGGCCAGAGGGGAAAATATTTGCCTTGAGGGTCGTGTGCCATATGTGAGAGCTGGCCTTAGCCTGGTGTAATACAATCATTGCATATGTCTGGATTTCAGTATCCATTGATACCCATCCCAGGGAGGGTGTGAGGCAGTGGAGGGTCTTAAAGACCAGTATGTTTACAGTAAAGTATAATTAAAAGCTAAACTGGAATTTCTGGAGTGGTGGGAGGCTCAAACCATAAGCTTCCATGGGGTTACCCATGGATATTTTCTGGAGTAACATAATTATATTTATTTAATTAATATTATTGCATGACATATTTTCAGTTTTTTTCTTTTTGTGTTGGAAACCTGTGAAAATGTCTTGATGAGTGTTTAACTGCATATTATATATCATTTAAGTTGTACTAAATAAGTTGTACTAAATAAGTTGTACTAAATGTGTGGGTGGCATGGTGGCCTAGTGGTTAGTGCACTTGTCTCCGGATCGAGTGGTCCTGGTTCAAGTCCTGGCTGGGGATGTTGTATTGTGTTCTTGGGCAGGATGCTTCACACTCATAGTACCTCCCTCCACCCAGGTTTATAAATGGGTACCGGTGAATTAAATGCTGGAGTAACTCTGTGATGGACTAGCATCCCGTCCAAGGGGAGTAGAAATACTCCTAGTTGCTTCATTCTACAGAAACTGGGATAAGCTCCAGCCTGATGGGCCCATGGCTTGTATGCAGACTTCACCTACCTACTAAATAAATGTAAAAAGTTGGCAGTTATGTGTATTAGGTCAGATTACTCTTCCTGGGTAACCCAACAGATATCAACTTGTCAGTGTGTTAGAGTGAAGGTAGAACTTTATGATAACCGGGGTTGTCACAACAAGGGATGTATAGTGCTGCAACGATGTGTCATGGTTAATTTATCAGGATACATTTTTGTTCAGTAACACTTATAAAATAATCAGTGAAAGAAGAAATATTATATTTTTTGTACCAGGTTAT